GAGTCCTAATTGATTAATTTAATAGGATTATTACTTTTGATGTCTTAATAAGCTCTCTTAGCATCCTATCATGTAAGTCTAATACGATACTTTCCAATGTCATATTATATTAGAGTTTAATAGTACACTTTTTAAGTGTCATATTATTTTAAAGACTAATAGGACATTTAAAGTGTCAAATTATTTTAGAAATTAATTGAACATTTTAAAGTGTAGTGTTATTTTTAAAAGTTAATACGTCAGTTTTTATTGTTGTATTAGTGTTTAAAAACTAATAGGGCACTTTTAAGTGTCCTATTAGAATTTAAAATAATATGAATAACATTATATATTTAGAACTATATTTAACATCAAATTGAGGCTCAATTGAAAAAAGCCTTGTTAATGTATAAGCCCTATTATATTAACTTAACTCATCAAATCAAAGCCCACAACTTGAACGAAGCCCTTTGCTACTTTGCCATTGAACGAACCCGTCACTGTTTACTTGATTGACTCCTTTGTACCCTATTTACGAAATTATGATCGTTAATTTTGAACGAAGTGTTCACTGTTTACTTGATCGACTCCTCCCTCACTGTTTGCGATCGACTCCTCTGTGCCCTGAGAATCTCAAAGCATCAGACAACGATCCGTTCAGATTAATCTCAAATTATGAGTTAGGAATTTCGTCAAGCTCATTCTGCTTATACGTAACATTTTCATTTTCATTAACTATAATTGATTTAAGTTTAATCTCTTAGTGGTAACAACTTCGATACGATTCTGATATTTTTCTACCACATTGCTTTCGTGTGATTGTGTAGTTTGTAAGGAAAAACTTGTACCTAAATTTTCTACTATGTCGTTATTCCATTTGAAAGGTAAATAAATTATCTAAAAAGAAAAGATAATAAAACACCAATAAAACAACAATGCAACATTAAAACAAAGACTGTTCTGATACCACTTGTTGATCCCAGCCGGATCTGCAAGAGTTTATAGGTAACCATTTGTAGAAGGTGGGAGATGAATACAAATACAGCAGCTTTCACTTTTAAAAAACTTATATTGATAAAGAAGATTAATAAAGATTTTTACAGATTGTTATGGGTTTTCGCTAACTTTTTGTAATGAAAAGATAAGATATAAAACTTATCTAAACAATTAAAGAAAAACAAACAAGTTACAGATAGCAATAAAAAAAAGATTTGCTAACAGAAAATAGGTTAAGAAGTATTGTACTCTTCATTAAATGCAATTCAGAAGAAAGAACTACTCAACTATTTATACTTATTGCATTAAATGCAATTCATAAAGTACAAAGCACGTGGCAAGCTTTAAGAGGTGAATTTGTCCTTTGTTGCAGATATACAGTCTTTGGTCGTATGTGAACAGTAGTCTTTTATAAAGTAGGTAAGTATGTTTGGAGACAGTAAAGTGACTTTGTACGATACTTTATTTTGAGAGGTATGAGTTTGTCATTTGTGTGTAGAAAGACAAGACAAAAATTAATCTTGTTCAACAAGGTTCATTTGATCGCTGACGCTGGAATGACGTTGAATGTCTCATCAGTGTTTGTTGAATCTTGAGCATATTTCACACTTATGTAGACGAGCTTGTTATCACTGAAAAACGGCATCAGATCACGAACATGCTTATCTTTATCTTCAGCTTCTATCTTCGATATCGTTGAAGATTCTATGGTGTGAGTTTTATCTTCCTAAAAAATACTGATCTCTGAAGAAATTATAATATATGTTCAGCGATCACTGAACAGACTCAGTGATGATCCCTGAAGTTGAATATAGAGATAGTACACTTCGTAAGATTAAAAAGGATCATCATCAAATCACTGAAAGAGTGGATCAACAGTACCTAAAAACAGATTCAGATAGTGAGTTACGTGGGTTTGGCCATAACTTAAGTCGCGCAGACCACTATTTGCTCCTTCTTACTAAATTGATCCAAACCGCAACTTGATTACATAAATTACAAACTTCCGCATAAAAAATAAAGCCCTTTTCTTAGTAATTAAAATAAATAAATGTCAAGAATGCACTAAAATTATGGGCGTTCCAAATTTAGGCTATATGATTTAGAGATCCGTCTCAAAACCAAAAATACCCAAATCAAAAGAACACTTCTAATAAGGATTTCATAATTGAAAATTTAATTGATATTCAAAAGCAAATCAAGTCTCAACAAAGCTCAAAGTGAACTAATTACAATCTCATCACTCGAGATAGAAAATTAGCTACTCATATCACTATTTCGATAGGAAAGTTAAACATACAATTGGCAGAAATCTGGAAATTGATGAATCCTATGAAAGGATTCCCTAAAATCGACTCCAATGTTCCCTCCCGAATTTGGATATCGGTCCTATGTTTTTTCCTCTTGCTTCTGAAAATCGAACAATTCCCCACTCAAATAACGGTTTTAGAACTAATTTCATCCCGTTCATTAAATCGTTTGAAAATGTGCAAAAAAAATGCCATGGGGATTGTCGACGACTTGGGCCGCGACTTTTACCTGCCAGGAAACTCGTCCGACTACATATTGAGACTTCAAAATTGTGTAACGAGGGTAAGGATGCAAGTTTACTCACGTGAAAAGTCTCCAGGAGCTTGAATGGATCAAGGAAGGTAAGGAACGCGAATGGAAGGAGAGTTTGGCTGCATTCTTAGTCACATAATGCTGGAGAGAACCCTAATATGAAGCAAAATCTATCTCGCCTCTTTTTGAGACTACATTTGAGAGATGCTTCATTTAACCGTTATTTGAGCTCATATGTCTGCTCCAGAAGAGATTTGAGAATATGCCCAGTCTTAGATTCCTTCAGAAAAAACATGCCCAATCTAATTCTTCATTTGAAGTACATGGTCTATTTGCTACAAATCCATCCATTATAAACCTGCCATTAATCAATTAAACGACCAAGATTAAGAGGGTTTATTAACTATAAAATGGTGATAATATCAACGGGATTTATTATAAAAATGGGACTAAATATGCGCTTATCAAGGGATAAAGGAAAAAACTTAATTCAAGAAGTAACTGAATTTATCTTATAAAAATATCACACAATTTGTTCTAAAATTTCCCGTCAATTAAATTTATTTCCTTTTTCATCGGTTTATAACCTCCAATTTAGCCATAATTATTGAAAAAATATGAACAATTCGGATGAGTTTGTAAAGTTAGTACCAATTAATAGGTTAGCAAATAATTACGTCAATATATATATATATATATATACACACGTGTGTGTGTGTGTGAATTAAGTAATATATATATATATATATATATATATATGAATTAATAGGTGGCACGGTGTAGTTTGAGCTACAATTTAGTTAATTCAAAACCGTATAGTGCGGTATAAACAATAAAAACCATCATATCGCGAAAGTTTCAAACTGTACAGTTTGGTTTGGTAAGGGCGGATTATGTGGTTTAATTGGATGGTAAAATGAATCGAACACCCAATAGAAAGGGGTTTGTTGAAGAGTTGCAAATTTACAAGAGAAGTCATAACGTTGCTTTATCCATATTGCTTGATGTTTCTCGTGTTACCTACATTGTATGGTGGATCTTAAGTCAAGTTTGAACTCTTAACGAGTAGAATTGAACTCTTTGTTCATTCTCAGCGAGTTCAATGATGAACTCGCCTTTGATATCACTTGCATTTAATTTGAAAGAAAAAGTGAGATAAAACATGGATTGGAAGTCATGTGCAAGTGCCGGCAGGTTTTATAGTCATTTTTTTCTAGATCATTTTGTTAGTTACCTTTTTCGTACATTTTTTTCTCATTTAATTTTATAGCATAAATTACATAGTTTCCATGTTCAATTCTATCATGTTTCATGCATTTTTCCTACCTTTTTATTTAATTTTTATCTTTTTGATGTCTATTACTTTGTTGTAGGTATATTCATGTTTTTGCAAGTATTTTCAGTGTGCAGGTGTGTGTGCACTCGACAAAGAGAACAAGCAAGGAAATGCAAGTGGTGTAGGAAACATAAAAAGATGAAGAAAAGGTGTTGAGTAATTAAACTGTGCGACCGAGAGCAAGAGGAATTCTAGAAAAAAGAAACGAATATGAAGAAAAGAGCATTCATACGATGTGTAAACTCCGAAGCTTCATATCGCCCTTGCTTGCACTCATTTATCATAGACTAGTGGCCGGACATATCAGCGGTTTTAATTTCTTTACCCATGGTTTTCTTTTTTCATTTTGAGTTTTCACATAAATCTTGTTATCTCTTGTATCTTTATTTACTTGTACTATATCTCTATTGATTGCTATATATGTTGTTTTATTTGCTTACTATTTTGTTTGACATTGTTGTTGGGTACAAAAAGTTGATTAGATCCTTGTTTGGATAACAATATTTTATTTACTTATTATGTTTTCAAATCATATTAATTCGTTTCTTTTTTTCTAAACAAACAATCATTCTTGCATAAATGACTTGCATTCACTATAACAAAATCAGGTTTATAGGGCACTCTCAAATTCTAAACGTTCTAATGGACCTCTTTATAGGACTTAGTTTATAGGAGAAAAAAAAATAAAGTGTCATATCTAGAAGTGTTGTCGTATTAAGTTTATATGATGTTTTTAGACACTTTATTTTGATATCAATTGATGTCGTAATAAGTTTTTTAGATACTTTTAATATAAAGCGTCTCATTATCAACTTTATAGGACACTATTTGAAAAACTGTCCTATAAAAGCAAGTGTCCTATAAAAAATTGAGTTTATAGGACAATTTCTCAAAAGTGTTCTATGAAGTTGCTAATGCGATACTTTGTATTAAAAATGTCCTCAAAAACTTGTTAAGACGCCCAAAAGCATTATATAAACTTATTACAACGCCTTTAGATAAGACAATTTATATTTTGGTCTTATATATAAATAAGTCCTATAAAGTGGCCACTTAGAGATTTGGGGTGTCCTATAAAACCAATTTTATTGTAGTGATTTAAGATATGGATCCCTTAAATATAACTTTGACTTAAACTTGCACTCTTCATTTCATGAAAAAATATCAAAGGTACATTGAATTCAAAACAATCACAATAAAACACAATTAAGAGGGTAGGTTATAATGTAGTAGTATATATATATATGATTAAATGTGGCAAAATGTAGTATATAAGTTTAAAGCTGAGCCAATTGACTGATATCCATGGGATGAGCGTCGGACGACGACTGCGCTCTGTAAGATCTCCTGCCAACGATCACGTTCGCAGCTTCACCGGGGTGAAAAGCATCCCAAAACAGATGTTCATCTCTATTTTGGCATGGTGTTTGACCAGGAAGACAAGTGATTTGCCCGTTGTTCTTTCCCACTCCACAACATCCAGCATTCGTCACCGTGAAACCTAATCAAACAACAAAAACCAAATTGATTAATTCCTTTAAAAACGTCATCCAGCGATCAATATGGAGAAAACGGCCAGAATTTGAAAGCATATATTATACCATAAGACTGAGGGCTGTTGATCAAGTCTTGGAAAATGTCGTAATTGTTGATGTAGATGAATTTAGCATCTGGCAGATCTCTGTTGAGGTTATCCACAAGAGACAGCAGCTGATTGTTGAACAGTTGGTTTGCAGAGTTGATTTTCTCGACACATGTAGATCCATCTTCACTGTTTTGAGCCAGTGCATTTGGACTACACCCAATCTGTCCTACCCCATTCAGCACAACTTTCCTTGCTCCATAGTTATACAATTCCTGCAACATTCATTTTTCTAAGTACCCGCATAACCAAACTCGCTACAATCATTATAAGACGTTAAATATGTTTAAATGTCATAATAGATTACATCATATGACTTTATATATATATGTATATATATATACATGCATGCATGCTTCTTTTACTTCATTTTATACATAATTTAAGGTAAGAACAGTTCTACTTACTCTTATTAGCTGGGAATATTGTTGAATGAGAACAGTGGCATACTGCTCGGGTGTATATTGACTGCTAGTTTGGTAGTAATTCGGCATGAAATAGTTATTAAGGTAATCGTTGCTTCCCAATCCAACCGAGTATATGCATTGTCGAAGATAATTCGCAGCTGAATCTTCGTCTCCGAGTATATCCACCACTTGTGATACCGTATTTTTATAGTTATTAACCTGCCCGCCAAAGCTAATTCGCGCACCCTACAAAACATATACGATTTCTTCATATAAATTTCTGAAGAATTATTTCAGAAATGTGACTGTAAAACGTGACAAAATGCTTACCAATTGTTGGCCAGTTTCGTCTCTGATTCCTGCGGCTGCTGAAGCATAATTCACACCGTTAAGGATCTCACGGCCCCTTGCATTTGCGTATGGCGGAATATAATCATTGAAGCCCAGAAGCTCAGCTGCAGATTGAGGAAATCAGTTGGAATTTACTGGTTTTTAACCACGATGATTATAATGGTAAAAAGTGTAACAAGAGTGAAAGAGAACACCAAAGCATACCAACAGCATCAACAACTGTTTTGCCATTGGAAAACCTTCCGGTTGGACCATCAGGGAAATCAATGCCATAAGGCAAGTAATTGGCTCGAGCCAACGAAGCAATTCCATTATTATTCCCATTATCGACCAATGAATCACCAAATATAAAGTAACATGGAACTTGAGGGTCGCCATTAACCCCAAAAGATACCATTTTCAATGCCAAGATCGTTGCCATTACATGCATAACCAACCATCCCTTTTGCTCACTTGCCATTGCTATAATTGCAGAAGATGTAGTATAAAGAACAAAAGCTCAAGAGAAAAGGTAAATTAAGTGTGTGACGAAATTTAATGTCAAGATTGTTGCCTATATATATACGCTAACACAGTGTGTGTGTGTGTGTGTTTGTAAAATGAAGATGACGACAACGACTCTTGTCTTTATGATGTTCTACAGTTGGGAAGTTGGATGGAAACATTAATTTCACGCGGAGATAATGTGTGTAGGATTCAACTGTAAGCACAGGTTTTTCTGGAGATATCCGGAGAGTGTATTTTCATCTTTAATTATATATATATATATATATATATATATATATATATATATATATATCTTACATTTCCAAATCCCAAAACCACATTCAATACGTGAAATTTTTTGTGGACCCACATCACGTTTTCATAAAAATACGTGAAATCTATCAAATTATTTTTTAAAAGAGAATGAAGGTTCGACATCCATTGAGAAAAATAGTCTAAGGTGGTAGTTGGTTTGCAAAATGTTTTTGAATGGAATGGAATATGTTAAATGAATTTGACTTTGAGAGAATTGAAATGGAATGTTGTCAGGTTTAATCACATGTTTGGTTGGTAAACATTAAAATGGAATCTGTTAAGGAGTTGGAATCTGTCTGTTTGATTCACAGAATATAGCTTTATAATTGGCATAAAATATTGGTAAGTTACCAAAATGCCCTTTTTTGAAAATTTTAATTTTTTTAAAACTAAAAATATTTTAATAAAATAATTATTTAATATGTAAAACAATATAAAATACACAAGCTAAATATAATCATAAGCCAGTTATTATCCTAACCCAACAAAGGACTTTCTCTTAATTCATACCGGTATACCACTACAAGAAAGTAGGGCTATAATGACCGTTGTTACAATAAGTTTATCCAATTTTCAGACATTTCAAAAATTTATAGTAACAACATGTCATATATAGACCAACTAAATATAAAGGAACATTTGAAATTAAAAACATGAAGGAATTGAATATTTATCGTTATAAAGATGAAACATATATATTTTTTCTGAATAAGTATCAAACAGATATTTCTTTAAAAACCATTTTCATATATATATATATATATATATATATATATATAGGGGTCTGTTGGGTCACCTATTGATTTGGTGATGACCCACTGATCTGTTCCTCTACCTTAAGCAACACTTAGTAGTTATTGGTTCTTTGTAAGTTGGTGTCTTG